AGTATATAGATTGTAATGCTCAAAAACTGAACCTATTCTCTACGGAAATGTCTTTGGCTATTTTCATAACCTGGCCTCTCCCGGCGTGCCATGCTGGTGGGCTTGCTTTTATCTGTAAACACAGGTGATGATTGCTTTCCAACTTCTACTTCTTTAGACAGAAATTTATACTGAAAGATGCAATCTTTGCCACATAAATGGTTTTGAAACGGTGCTTAAATTAAAAACAGTGTTGCATATATTACCTTTTACTGAATGCAGGTGCTACAGGCATAAGGGTGATGTGCCCCTAAGGGCACCAAAGGGCCTTAGTGGCCCTGATCAGCCTCACCTGGGTGCTCCACCAGCTCTCTGCCCATGACCCCCAGTCCCTATCACAGAAGCGTTGCTCTTCAGCTTGGCTACCACTGTGCCAGGCCTTGCTACAGGCTCTATGGATCCTGGACCAGTGGACTGACTCCCCAGATTGTCCTCAGGTCTGTCTCATCAGCAGGACACTGCCTGGCAGGCAGGACTGGGTCCTGGCCCCGGCCTGCCCTGCTCCGGCCCTGTCTGGCCTTGCCCAGCCATGTTGTGCTTGGCTTCTCAGCCCCCAGGGAGCTGCTCCCTGATGAAAGGTTGGGGAAACGGAGTTTCAGTGTCTGCCACGATGTGGAAGGAGGGAGATGAAGGAGCCTACCAAAGGCCATCCCCCTTGCATCCAGCTCTTCACTTCCTGAAGCAATGGCATAGAAAACAGCTACCAGCAAGGCATGCACCCACTCCATGTGGGTCAATTCCTCCCTCATCATGGATTAGCAAATAACTCCTCCTTCAATGCACAAAACAACTAAAAGGAGATGCTGTATGTTTGCTGAGGACCTCTGTTGCCAGAGAACTTACTCAGTACACAGCAGAGGAGCACTTAATTTTGTCCTTTGCCTAGCAGCAGCAAAATGGTAGCTCCCCCTCTGATCACTAAGTACTTGTCAAGTACTTCTGTTGAAGCTGTTCCTCTCTGAATATAAAAGTTTAACATTTACTGGTGAACGACATGAGTGAAAATAACTTTATAGTTCTACGGAGTGGTTTAAAACAGATTGCAGCAATAACTAAATACCACATCTCCCTGATCCCCAGTGATACACTAGGATACTCTGCCATTCTTTTTCTTTGGCCTAAGTCTTGATCTACACCATGCAAAGGAAAATATGGAGAACATGGAGATGGGTCTGAACATGTTTTGAAGCCTTGCAGCTATTAGCCAGAAAGTAGGAAACACAAATTCAAGCAGAATGAGGAACTGAACCCATTTACCTTTAAAAGCAATATCTTCCAAATGACCAAGAAATGTGAAGAGATGCAATGCTTCCTCTAAGTGCACTATGCTTCAGTGTTTCCTGATATATTCCACATTTAGCTGGATTTTAAAGATCCTGTTCTTTAGTACCCGAATTTTCACCAGAACTGTATAATAGCTGTGATTTGATTAGATAGCAACTAAATGTTATCACATTCAATGTAACAGCAACTAGCCTTCTTGACGGAATGGCCTTTCTGCAATCTCAAGCAAGCTCCGCTTCAGGGATTCATAAAAGTGTTTCTTAACTTTAAAGTTTACCTTTTCCATTCAAAAGAACATTTATTCAGTTCTTGGAACTAAAACATTGCAAGAATGGAGTCAGAAGAATTTTGGTACATTCTTCTGGACTACAGAATTTCAAAATAAAATGTGAGCTCAGGTAAACAAATGAGAACAGTGAGTTGGTAAAAAAGCTTAGAATGAAAAGTGATGTAAATGTTAGTCACACGTGCCTGAAAAAAGGGTTTTTGAAAATCTAATCACTTTGCCAAAGACTGAAAACCACTGTCACATGGTGAGCTGGGTATCTTGGTGGTTGTGACAGATAAATCCCTGAATCTCTGCATATGATGAGCATGTTGACCGGGGTCAGCTACGTTAGGCATCAGATCACAGAATCACAGTGATTGGAAGAGACTTCTAGAGATCATCTAGTCCAACTGCCCTGCTCAAGCAGGGTCACCTAGAGCACGTTGCACAGGATCACTTCCTGGTGGGTTTTGAATATCTCCAGAGAAGGAATCTCCACAACCTCTCTGGGCAACATGTTCCAGTGCTCCGTCACCCAAACAGTAAAGAAATTTTTCCTCATATTCAAATGGAAATACCTCTGTTTCAGTTTGTGGCTGTTGCTTTGTTGCTTCTTGTTCTATCACTGGGCACCACAAAAAAAAAAAATCCAGCCCCATCATCTTGACACCCTCTCTTAAGATACTTACACGTGTATATGCAATGGTAACATCCCCTCTCAGCCTTCTCTTTTCCACGCTAAACACACTCAGCCCTCTCAGCCTCTGCTCACAAAAAGAGACACTCCAGTCCCCTGATCATCTTCGTAGCCCTCCACTGGACTCACCCCAGGAGCTCCAGGTCTCTCCTGTACTGCAAAGCCCAGACCTGGACACAGCACTGCAGGTAAGATCTCACCAGGGCTGAGTAGAGGGGCAGGATCACCTCCCTTGACCTGCTGGCAATGCTCCCTAATGCACCCCAGGATCCCATTGGCATTCTTGGACACAAGGGCACATTGCTGGCTCATGGTTAACTTGTTGTCCACCAGGACTTCCAGGTCCCTCTCCGCAGAGCTGCTCTCCAGCAGGTCAGACCCCAGCCTGTACCTGTGCTTGGGATTATTCCTCCCTAGCTGCAGGACCCTGCACTTGCCCTTGTTGAACTTCATGAGGTTCCTCTCAGCCCAACTCCCCAGCCTGTCCAGGTCTCTCTGAATGACAGCACAGCTTTCTGGTGGATCAGCTATTCCTCCCCATTTTGTGTCACCAGCAGACTTGTGGAGGGTGCACTCTGTCCCTTCATCCAGGTCATCGATGAATAAATTGAACAAGATGGGGCTTAGTACTGACCCCTGAAGGACACCGTTAGCTAAAGGCTTCCAAATAGACTGTGCTGCTGATCACAACCCTCTGAGTTCTGCCATTCAGACAGTTCTCAATCCACCTCACTGTCCAGTCATCTAACTCACAATTCCTGAGATTAGCTATGAGGATGTTGTGGCAGAGTGTCAAAAGCCTTGCTGAAGTGCAGGTAGACAACATCTACTGCTCTCCCTTCATTTCTCCATCCAGTCATAGAAGGCTATCAGAATGGTTATGCATGATTTCCAGTACGAGCTGTTCCATCACCTTTACAAGGATGAAGGTGAGGCTGACTGGCTTGTAGTTTCCTAGGTCCTCCTTCTTGCCCTTTTTGAAGACTGGAGTGACATTGGCTTTCTTCCAGTCCTCAGGCACTTCACCTCTTCATGACCTTTCAAAGATTATGTAGAGTGGCTTAGCAATATCACCCACCTGCTTCCTCAGCACTCATGGGTGCATCCCATGTGGGCTTATGGATATATGAGTTGGCATAAATTATCTCTAAGACAATCCTCCTCAATTCAAGGGAAGTCTTTCTTTCTCCAGACTTTTTCTTGTCTCCAGCATCTAGGATTCCTGAGAGCTGGCCTTAGTAAAGACTGAAGCAAAGAAGGCATTCAGTAACCCTTCCTTCTCTGTATCCTTCACCACAACAGCATCCACTCCACTGAGCAGTGGGCCCACATTTTCTCAAGTCTTCGTCTTGCTACTGATGTATTTGAAGAAGCCTTTATTGTTGTCCCTGGCATTCCTTGCCAGATTTAATTCCACATGGGCCTTAGTCTTCCTTGTCATATCCCTGCATACTCTTGACAACATTCTCATATTCTTCCCAAGTGGCCTGTGCCTTTTTCAGAAGTACACATACTGTGTACTTCCTTCTGCTTCAGTTTTCCCAGGGGCTCCTTGCTCATCCTGACACCTTTGTTTGACTTCTTACTCATAGGGATGTACTGATCTTGATCTTGAAGGAAGTGTTACTTGAATCACCAGCTCTACTGACCCTCACCCACCCTCCTTCTTTCTTCCTAGAACCATAGCCCGTGGGATTCCTCCACGTAGGTTCTTGAAGAAGTTCAAGTCCAGGGTTGAAATCCTACCTATTACCCCGCTTCATTCACACAGGATCCTGAACTCCACCACCTCACAGTCACTACAGCCAGTGCTGCCCCCAACCTTTACATTTCCAACCAGACCTTGTTTGTTTGTCCATACAAGGCCCAGCAGCACACCTCTCCTCAGTGGCTCACCCACTGCCTCCATCAACAAGTTGTCATCAATGGCCTGCAGGACTCCTGGACTGTGTATGCCTAGATACATAATCTGAAGTGATGCAGACTTAGAGATCACTGAAGTGTTCCCTGTGCTGTAAGGAAAGGCAAAAATGCAGGTTATGTCTATTTGCAGAACAGGAAGGCTGTGAGGAAAGACATTTAATGGGAGCAGAAGGAAATGGGTGGTGTGGTTCAGGGCTGGAGGTGCTTTGTATTATTGTGTTCCCAGGACACCGTACTGGTGAGAAGGGTCAAAGCCTTCCCTGGTCTGCTGGTCCTACCAAATATAACTCAACCAGAGGTGCACACAGAGCTCTGAAAAACCTCCAGTTAGGTTACTCAACATCTTCCTCCACCCAAATCCTGCACATTAATATCGAACCACTAACTGCATCTGGGTCAGGCTAGCAGACACACAGCGTTTATTGAAGCTCTACGTGAAGCAACCCAGCTGAGCTAATGCCAACTGAAGGAACACCCAGCGGGAAGCCACTTCAGCCAAATTTTCAGCACATTTCCCACATTTCCAGCAGCCTAGCCAGCCGCCTAGGACTATCTCTAGGACCACACAGGCGGCACACAGATAAGGACGATTTATCACATTTCTTGACGCGACAAAAACCCCGCTAAAACTCCTGGGGAGGGGGGGGGCGGGGGCTGCCGGGCCAACCCCACACCTCCGCGCCGCAGGGCGGCCACGTCAACCCGCCCCGCCCCGCCCCGCTCCTACAGCCGCGGGCGGCGTGAGCGAGGCGGCCCGGGCGGCGCTGGTTGGCGGGGCCGGGGGAAGCGGCGCGGCCGGAAGGGGCGGCCCAGTCGCCCCGGTGACAGGAGGCCGAGATGGCGGCGCGGGAGGCGGTGGCGAGCGCCAGGCTTTGAATGAGGGGCGGCCGGAGGCTGCGCTTTGGCCGCCTCGGCGCCCGGCGGCCCCCCCCCGGCCGGGGCAGGTGAGCGGGAGGCGGCCGCCGGTTGGGAGTCGTGGGGGAGGTGGGCGGTGAGGTGCGCCCCTGAGGGGCTCGGATCCTGGAGTGCAAAAGTGGACGGCGTCCGGCAGTGTCTGCTGCCCTCGGAAACTCAGCCCTGGGCCGGCGGTGGGGCGCTGCTTCGCGGTCACTGCTTCGTGGTCACTGTTTGTGGTGCCTCCGTGGCACATCTGATGAAAAACAGCACAGCTTGCTGCTTTATGGTCCTGCTGACTGCTCGGGGTATCCTGCTGGGCTGTGGAGGGGCTTCTTCAAGTCATCCCGCACAACACGCCCCACGGTGTATCACGGCTGTGAATTATTGCTGCTTGTTGGGACAGCGGATGTTGCAAGATGATTTTGTGGTAGTAGCAAGAGTGCGTTACTTTATGTCTATGGCTTTCAGTGTGGATACAGATAATTTAAGTCCAGGGTGGCCAGTAATGACTGTGGTACAACTGGGATATGGTGAACTGGGAACTCCAGTGCTGCGCAGGGAGTTACATGAAGTAGTTCCTTGTGTCAAAGATTAACTATAGGACCAAAGTTACAGTGTAGTATCATGGGATTGTAAGGCTTCCATCTTTATATTCTGCATCTGTTTTTCAGAAGATAGTAGCACATATAGATAACGAATTATCAAAAATGACTGTGCCTAGTTAGTGGACTTATATTTTCTGTTTTAACTAATATTACCCCAAAAAACAGGACGCATTCTAATTCAGAACAGAAAGTTTCAAGAACTTGCATTAACAAGATTGGCACTATGCTCATTTTCTTCAAGAGGAAGGGGTGAGTTGAGGTGGTACCAGCCTAGAAGTTTAATGACTATAGGAAAGTAGATTTAAAAAATAAAAAGTTTAAGCTCCAGTCTGTAAACAGTTAGGTGTCTAGGAAAGACTTAGGTATGGCTAGTTTCTGTGTTTAGTTAGTGAGACAAACTCATTCTTTCTTAAATGTTGGCATCTTCTGCAAAAAATCGTGAAATATCTTCTTGGATTTTCGATTTGAGCACCTTGTAAGTCATAGGCAAAGAAGCAGTCTTTTCTCCCAGCTACCTTGTAACTTCCTATTTAGGGTGCTTACGCTGAAACTGAGAACATCAGTGTTGAAGCTACAGTTCCCTGTAACCACCTGCATGTAGACAGATTCTACACTTATAATGCTGTAGTAGCATGGCTATGAGATTCAGCCACGTTTCCATTTCATCTATCCATTTATCAAAATCAATGATAAAGATGTTGGCCTACTTGTGTTTGTTTTTTTTTCCTCCTGCCTCAGCACTCCCAATATTATGTTTCTACATCAAGTGATTAGAAAAAAAAAAAAAAGGATCAAATCATCCAGGAAGAAAGGAGTGGAGCGTCTTCACTAGGTTACAGAATCACAGTTACTCTCTGAAGTGCAGGAGATGCTGGTTTTTGCTTCCAGTACCTGGCTGAATGCTGCTCCTGAATCATTACATTGCTGTTTTAAAAAGTCAATGTCTTTGTACATCTTTTAATGTACACGATTTGGAGGAGGGGTTTTGCACTTGTAAAGAAACATATTATTTTTTAAGGTCTTTTTACTAATCTTTGTAAGGTTCCATCTCCCTGTAAACCAACTTGGTCATTCTTCAGACTGATGTGGTAGCACTGCTTGTTTAAAATTTTTATAGAAATTGAACTTCTAAGAGACCTTATCCTTGCTGCTTAAACTTTGGACTAATCATATGGTGCTTTCTTGATTTTTTTTTTTTTTTTTTTTTTTTTTTTTATCAGCTGCTTGTTCTAGTGTAGACATGCTGGTTCACTGGTGCTCTTGTGGAGTTTTGGGGCTGACATGTGTGAGTACCCAAGGGCATGTTAGTCTTCTGTACCAGGAAATAGACGTCTCATTTTGCCTTAGGAGGTTTTTTGTGGTTACTCATGTAAATATGTAGTTGGTGGGGAAACGTTCAGTTTCAGTCAAGTTATTTTTAATTTTGATTTAGACTTCTTCCCTTGGCTATTTAATTAGCTGTATTTAATGCAAGTAAAAGCCACTGTTTCCAAGATGTCTTCATGTATTCATTGCAGAGTCCCAGATGAGCTGATGTGAAAGAAAGTGCAATCAACTCACAAAGCAGTGGTAATTCGAGGCAGAAATTCCATTCAGAAGATGATGATATCTCAAGAAAGCAACACGGCATGCATCAGTCAGCATTACAAGTAGAACATAGGAGCAAAGGAGGAGAGGATAGGTGCCATCTAATATTAATCTTCTGACATATTTTTAACTGATGGAAGGAGATGAGTTCAGTAAGAAAACAAAACAAAACAAAACCCTTAGGTCTTTAAAACAATTTGAGTGCCAGAAAGTGACTTTGTTTTAGAATTGGTTCTGTCTCTTGAGATATTGCTTACGTAGTGTTTTGTGTGTGCAATTAGGTATAAAAGAGGAAGTGCTCCTGCAGACAAGGTGCTCATTGCATGGTGATTGTCAGTGAGCATCTTGTCTCTAGGACCTTAGTTCACGTGCTCAGCTGGATGGTGTGTGCCTCAGGCTGGTGCCCATGAGGTCCGAGTTGCCAGGAGCTCTAATGCTGCTGCAAGCCGAGCGCAGCGTAAAACAGTTTCAGTACATTTCTGGACTTTCCTTCCCTTCACTATATTTCCTTTATTGATCCATAAAATGTTTCCAGGGCTAAGTTGCCTTGGGCTTCTCACTCGTCTCTAATGTGTTTAAAATCTCACTGCTACCATGCTCTAATCTTTGTGGTGCACAACTTCCACCTGAGCAATTGCTGTAACTTCTTACCAGTAGAAGGCGGCTTGAGACACGTGAATCAAACTCTGGCTAAATTTGTTAACTTTTACACAATTTTTGCACTGACTGCTAAAATTAGATTTAGGATTCATGTCCCGATCTACTTATTTATATCTGTTACAATGGAGCTTAAAAGTTAGTTGACAGTAAGTCTGATAAATGTTATACATTAGAAGCAACGTTAATGGGAGAAGGAAAGCTCCATCCCATGTTACAAATGGGAAGCTGAGGCATGGGGCATGATACATGCAAAGCTGTGTCAGGCTGACAGATTATCAGATTTTTTGAATTCTAGTCCAGTGTTTCACCCCTGCCTCCATCTGTTAAGAAATGTTTGAGGACTCTTGCTGGAGCATTGCCACTCCGTGTTCTGTCCCAGTGCTGTACATGGCTGTGCATCTCTTCTTTCCCAGGCTGCAGAAGAAACAGAAATACGAGGAACACCTTGTTTTACCTAACAAGTCTCATGTAATGTTATCAGGTGAATTCAGTTTGCACTAAACTCAAAAAATGCAATAACACAAACACTTCAAATGCCTTTTTAGATGCCTGGCAGGGAATGCTTGACGTGCCCTGATCTTGAACCAAGTACTTGGTTTAGGATTCTTTTTAGCTAACTTTTAACATACTGCCAAAATTAATGCATATGTGCTGCTTCACATCTTAATTATTAGTAGAAAAAATAGATACGATGATAAAAGTACCTTTTAAGGCTGGGTGATTGCTGGTAGTACTGTGCCTAGTGATTCCTTGCTGTTGCTGAAACTCTGTCTGTGGATCTGACGACTTTGAGCACAGGGTTTAACTTAACTGGCGAGGTTACAATCAAAGCTTAGAGCAGAGGAAAGCAAAATGCTACTTGCTGTCTTGAAAGGCTTGATACTGCCATAGTTAAAGTGGAACACGGCTCAAACACACACGTACAGCACGTGTCTGCGTCTCGCTTTCCTTCAATATAATGCTGTAGTTTCTGCGTGGCACATAGGAAGCAGAGCAAGGAGTCACCTGAGCGGTGTGGGGAGTGAAAGTAGCTGTTGAAGCCTGCTGAACAGGCGTGTGGGTGATATTGAAGTGTGTGCAGACATGTATAGGAATGACCTGGGGAAAATGCATTAGTTTCTGGTGACTAACAAACACTTGTCAGCGGTGACTTCAAGAACTTGTGAGCTAGACTGTCCTTGTGGGTTCTGTTTGTTTGTTTGTTTATTTGTTTGAATTTAGGCAAAAATAATATTGAGTCTAGATATTTTTGAGTAATAGTGCTTCCTAAAACAATCATTTCAATCAGTGGGGTGTTCTGTTTTGTTTTTAAGTTTAGGATCTGCCTGGACTGTCTAGCGTGGCAGTTCAGTAGGCTAAACAGTAGGAAAGTTGCTTTTCTCTTTGTACTGTAGAGTATCTTTCTACTAACTCCCTCCAACTCCCGAGCCAATAAAAGAGTGAATTCTGATGAAGAATGGAATGAGCTTCTAAATAACCTTCCTTTCAGAAAAGACATACCTTTATTCTTATTTCAGCAGGTCACCTGCTCTTCATTCCTGAAATCCCAGGTAGATGGCTTTTAGCTGCATCTCTTTAAAGTAACAATTTCTTTTGCCAATTAAGTGCTCCTGTGCAGTAATCTTTACCTTTAGAATAGAGAGCTATCCATTCAGTTGCCATCTGCTGTTTCTTTCACTAGCTTCTGCTGTTACTAAATCCTTCAAATTTTTGACTGATGCATTATCCTGTCACCTAGATATTGTCCAAATCACTTATGCCAGAAGGTAAGGAAGTTCAGGAGTACAATACCAAATAATAGTTCTGTTTTTAAATCTAAGTGTGTTGGCTGGTGTCTGATGTTACTACTTTTTTTTGTGGGAAGTTTGACTGTTTCCAGTTCCTGTTAGGTAAAAAGTCCGTTTAATATCCCCTCTTGTATAAGGAGTCTCCCAAGAAATGAGATTAAGACAAGGCCAGTATTGAGGTAGAGGTGAAATGTGTCCCGCAAAGCCTTTCTCCTAAGCTACAGCTTGGTAGTGTGGCCTGTAATTTGGTGGTTATATTATATATTTTTTTTTTTATTATATATTTTTTTTAATTTTTATTTATTTTTTTGCAGTAAAAGGACCTACTTGCTTAGTAGTAACCCTGCACAAAATTTTCAAATTTCTTTTCTGAATTGTATGTGGAGTAGTATTTCCAGCACTATATTACTAGGTTTAATATTAGTTATCTTGCAAATGAGCACCGATAAAGTAAATCTAAGCTCCGTGAAGCTCACAAATCCCACGATGTACTTTTTAATAAAATCCTCAGGGCAGTATTGGAGCAGCCTACCTAATGACCCACCTTCCTGACTCTTCCTAACTTAAAGCCTGGAATATAAAAAGTGATTTAAATGCCATAGCGTATCTGAAATCAAGCTGTCCTTCCATGGAATACTCATGGCCTGAGGAAGATGTCACAGGGCTGCCTTCTCTTCTCACCAGGAGGTATGTTAAACTGGCAACAGAAAATATTGTTACAAGTGTAGCTGCATATAATTAAAAGCTATTTGTGAAGCCTAACCTCTTCTTCCTTACTCTGAGATGTTCACCTGTAGAAGAAAGAAACGGGATCCTTGAATTACAGCTTATTATTCTAACTGGGTCTACACCTATTTGAGGGAACCTGTTGGAATAAGTATAGATATGCTGAATATCAATTACTAAAGTCTCTAACTGACACTGAAAAATAGCAGCCAGCATTGCTGGTTTCAGCTAAAGATCAATTTTTGCTCATCTGGGTCTGTTAGCATAATCTGAGCTGTCACAGGAGCATTGATGTATCCAGGGGATTAACTTGTGCTGTAGCACACGTAGTGTGAACAGGATCCTTCTTCCCTGGTGATCTTTCAGTGACATTGGTCACTAAAATAAAATGTTTGTTCTCATCACATTTCCAATTAAAATCACTGGTAACTTTAAACAGCCACTTTTGGGTTTTGACTTAGTGCTGATTTAATGTACATTTATAATTTGCATATACAAGACTTGCTTAAGGAGGTGCAAGCTTCTTGGTCATAATTCTTTTCTCCTTGCGTTGTTAGTGTCTAAGGCGTACAGTCACCACAGCTGATTGCCAGCACTTCCACTTTAAAAGTGTCTTTAATTGTCACTTTATCTATAATTATGTGCTGTTTTTTTAAAGGCTGTACACATAAGGTGCTTGCATTTTTTACATCAGTGAAATGTCCAGGTAGTAGGCAGGTAGACTCTCTGCTCCAGGTACCTCCTTTCTTTTCTTTTCTTGCATGAGTTCACAGAATGTTCCCTGTTTATGAGCAACTAAGGAAATTGGCTTTAAGGGCTATGAAGATATATAATGCTCTACATCTAACTTTTTTTTTTTTTTCTTTTGCAGGAAGGGTTTCTCATCATGGCCATAACACAGTTTCGGCTCTTTAAAATCTGTACTTGCCTGGCAGCTGTGCTTTCTTTTATTAAAAAGTTAATATGCAGGTAAACATGTACTTAATTTGGTTACCTTTTCTGGTTTAATTGCAAGTTCTTTCTCTTCTTTCCTTCTCCCCAACACATACACACCTCTTTTCCTAATTCTGGTTTTGCTACCAATTGCAAAACAATCAAGAAGGATACAAAACAAGTCAAATTCATTCTTCAATCTGCATATTCCTGTGGAGTTCAAAAGTCTATGTAATGCAGTTGTGAGTCTGAATTTTTGTGTTATGATAGCTCTAATGGGGATTGTTTTCTGAACAGCTATGACAGGGTTTAAAAATTGCCTTTTAGCATTATCCTCTGTCAAATGACTAAAAACCATTCACAAATTTTTTAAAAAGGATTTGGCAAGTGACATTTTCTTTTTTAAGAGGTTCAGTTAATGGCAGCATCCACCCAGTCATCAGTCAGCAGGCTTTCATTGTAAATATAACTCATTCTCATCCTGCTTGGTCAAGAAACAGTTGCTTGAGATGCTTGAGACTTCAGGTTCTTCTGCCTGCTAAAGGTTCGTTCAAATGTTTAGAGGACAGTGATTAGTTTCAGAGAACCACTTTTTTTTCCTTTTTTTAAAATGAACATCTTAAAACTTGCAAGAAAAAGCAAAAACACTTAATGTTCTTTTGAGTTGTAAATTTGTGAACACAGCAGTGCAGTATCTAGAAGCATTACAAAAAAATACAAAAACACACGTGTTATATATACAGATTTATGGTTATATATTAGTAGGGTTCAACAGTACTTGATGCTGATCTTCTCGGATACTGTGCCATCTTCTGGACTACTTTTCCTTTTAATCACCCTTACAGGATGTTGTTTTATTTAAACAATTAGCAGTCTGAAGAAATGTATTCTTCTTTTGTGTATGATAACTACTACCTTGCCACTGAGATTAAAGCATATGCAGAGCATGTGGTACACACAAAATAGCATCTGAATTGTTTTTTGTCCTGTTTACTTTTATTCATTGTATAAATAAGAAGAAGCTTTCAACTAGTTGTTGGTAAATTCATTCCACATCTACTGAAGCTTTAAGAGGCACATTTTAATGCTGCATAGAACTTGATAGCTGTCAGCTTTAGTTTTGCGATTTGAATTCTAAATTAAATTAAGAATACTTGCCATTCAAGTTCTTTGAGAAGTCAAAACACCGAGTTGGCATAATTTCTGTAACATATATTTTATATATGTTTCTGTAACATGTGGACCCTTAATCTAAGTGTTAAGATATCTCTTAGAAAGAGATAGCACTATCACTGAATGTAATAAACAATTTTATTCTTTTTCAATTTCTGAATGAACTTAATCATTGCAGTGAACAGGTGAGGAACTGATTGGGAGCAAAAAATAGGAGAACTTTTCTTCTCTTAATAACTGTTAGTTAAAACTTTCACGTAAGCAAGTGAGTTGATCAAGCTGGTTCAGGCAGTTAACCACGGATAGTTCTTCATTTTAATGTCAGCTGCAAAGCATAGTTTGATAAATTTTGTTTTCTTATAATGCACCCCTGCATATGAGTAAGCTTGGTAACCAACAAATGTGATTTAATTAAATGTGCATTCTAATTTGATGGATATGAGCTAGTACTTATTTGGATTACATATCTTAGTTTTTAATTTAAACAAGTGCCTGCAGAGACTGTGCATCTCTCTAGTCAGCATAAAGCCTGTGCATAGCACTTGGCATCTTTTTAGTTAACTTTTTGATGAACGGCAGCCTGCTTGAATCCACTGTTTCCAGCAAACAGCAGGTATAATTACAAAATAAGGTGAAATTTCATTCTGTTTAAAATCTTCATCTTGCTAACAAATCTGGATGCTGCTAATTATTATAGATAAACAAAACCAAGATGTATTGAGACATTTGGTCTTCAGAGCAGTTATCAGTCTAATGATGGTTGGGAAGCAGCTGTTTCCAGGCTTGGGTTTCTGTTAGAGACATCAACAAATCTAGTCAGCCCAAGTATCAGATGTTCCTAGTATGTTTGAGGGAGCTTTGGTTTTATTTTTGTTTGTTACAGAATCTAGCATCAAGTACATACAAATATTTTCATGTGAAGAGAAGATTAAAACAGGTCTCATATGACTGTGTATGTAAGTCAAACAATCCTACAACAATGACATTTTTATCGTTGTTGACACCACAGTAGTAGATTATCTTTTGTATGAAGACTTATTTTTTTCCAAGCATATAATCCGGAAATTGTGTTTAAATTTGGTTGCCTAAGTAATCTTTTTTTACAAAAAATTTTTTGTAAATTTGCAGATTACCTGCTTAAAGATTGAACCTATGCATATATACTACATAGGATGGAATTTAGAATTTTGTCCCTGTCGTGGTTGCCTTATACTTAGTAATAGCTTTTTCTGAGCTACGTTTATTTTAATTTCTTAACACTGTAAAGACTTCAAGACTTAGACAGCTGTAAGTTTCATTCTTAAAAACCTGAAACAATTAAGATTTGCTTTGTCTTGAAGACTTCTTGCAAGAGAACTAAACTGTTGTTTTTCAGCATAAAGGAGCAGTTTCTGAATGGGCTAGAGTTAATTATATGAAGCGAAAATTTGATGATAGCACCTGATCTTTCCTAAGGAGGTATAATTTGGGCCAAAAGTAGGAAAAAATAATCTAGTCACTCACCAGTGTGCAGTGGACCTTGTGTTACAAGCAATTCAGCTGCTCTGATGTGATGGTGAAATGTTCTATAATAATAACAATAATGGACATGAACTCCAAGTGCCAGTTCCCTGTGGCATTCTCATCAGCATCAATAAACAGATCTTTGCTCTTCCAAGCTATCAAGGTCCAAGGTCAGTTAGGTGACTGTCTTGACATAGGAGGTGACACCTGGGGAGAACACGAGTGTCAGTCTTAAGTTCTTTCTCTTGTGTTAAAAGGTTTTAAGATACAGCAAATGTCAGCTAAAAAATATTTTGTTAATGTGATTTTTTTAATGTCATGAAGTAAATATTTGCATTGTTTATTAGCAATGCACTAGTGTTTGTCTTCAATTAAAATTGATACAGTTGCTGAAACACTTTCACTGCTACATTATTAAATAGAAGCATGTATTGAGCAGAAGCTGTTGACTTGCATTATGTTTTGCTACCTCTCTTTAGACTTCAAAGGGAAAAGTGCTTTAGAGGGGCTTTCAAATCGAGCAGCTCAACAAACGATTTGTTAAACGCAGCTTAACACTTCAGGATGATAGAAGAATTTCTCAGTTTCCAGTGGAAATGGTTATCTTTGAGCTAATACAGAGCTGTAGTATTTGCTTCTTTAGCACTGGGAATCTAAAAACTGTAACTGACTATATGCAAATAACTGATTTAATTCATCTCTTTTCAAACTGGCATAGAAACAGAGGAGGAGCAACTCTTTAAGAAATGTGAAGAGTAAATGGCACTTGAAATTTGTGTGAGCCCCACTTTAAATTCACGATGAAAGTCTTACTATCAGTAGACAATACTGAGGTAGTTTAAGCACTTAATGTTTTAGCCAAGGCTACTTCTTTCTTTCAGCAGTGCTGTTCTCAGACCTCCTTTTTTTTTTAACGTAGTGCTCATGTTTTCAGAGCTTGGAGGAATCCTACATTTTTCTTTCAGGTCTGGAAGAGGGCGAAAATTAAGTGGAGACCAAATAACTTTGCCAACCACAGTGGATTATTCATCTGTTCCCAAACAGGTAATTGCTTCAGTGGTAGGTAATTTAATAATTACTTAACAGAGTGATCGTACCAGTTCTGTTGTCGTAGCAAGATATAATAAGACACATTTTTACTTTCAGATATTAATTTGTATCATTCACTTTTACAGCCAGAAGTAGAAGACTGGTCTTCATGGGATGAGGATGCACCCACCAGTGTGAAAATTGAAGGTGGCAATGGTAATGTGGCAGCTCAGCAAAACCCTTTGGAACAAATGGAACCTGATTATTTCAAAGATATGACACCAACTATAAGAAAAACTCAAAAAGTAGGTATTGAGTTTTCAACTATACTTACTGAGGGCTTTCCATGTTTTAATATAGGTTATAAGTAAATTGGCAACCTATAGACAGTGCTTCAGGCGAAAGTATGTTGTCCTGTTGAAAGGAGAATAGATGCTGATGTCTAGTCTAACCTGGTTGATTAAAAATGCTGACTTTCAGACCTTACCAAATGTGATTCTGGTTCGTGTTTACATCACTAGTCTTATAATTCTTGGAAACTTATGATGAGTTTCATAGTCTAACTGTTCTAGGAAGTATAAATGTGAGAACCCTCACCTCACTTTTAATTCTAAAAACAGCACTGTTTCACTAAGGCACTTGTGCTCATACCTCTTTGGTATTTGAACAGAGACATTCGATGTCTTGCCCTTACTGATGTTTGATGTAGCAACGCTGCTGCTTCAGAAAGCAGTGGGTTCCTGTCTTACCAAGCTGTGTTGGAGCGAGTGTTGTTAGGGAGCTGATATTTAAAAATAGCTTGCTCTTCAAAGGTCAGATTTTTGAAGAGTAGCGAGATGGGTATCTTCACAATAATATTAACACCATTAACTTTTTCTAATTAAAGTTCTGGTAAATTGCAAGCTTTGTTTCCATGTGGAAATATTCCAGTTGGATACCTACAAGGCTTTGGAAAGTCGATTGGAAAATGTTTTGCACCATGAAGGCAGTCAAGGACTGGAACAGGTTGCCCAGAGTGGTCCAGTCTCCATCAAGACCCAACTGCATAAACCCCGCATACCTTTGTCAGCCTCAGAGCTGACCATGCTTTGAGCAGGAGGTTCACTGGAGACCCCCTAGGCCCTTTCAAACCTTAATTCTCTGGTGCTCCTATGAACTGGAGATGATAGTGGGGTTGTTTTTGTGTATGTTTAGGATGTGCAAGACTGTGTGGACTAGAGTCTTCGGAGGATTCTGGTCTTACAAATTTTGGGGGACAGAGGAGGACTGGGGGAGAGGTGGATTTCTCCTTTGTTTCTAATGATGTTTTTTTCTTAATGGATTAAGCTTCTGGTGTAGCATAAAACTCAGGAAGAGTCCATGCTGCTTAAATACTGCTATACTGGTTTAGTTTAAAGACATCTCTAGGGTTGACTGCAGGCACCATATAGACCATTGCTGCTAGCTTAGCCCTGTTACCAACCTGTAAATACGAATTGGTATTTGCAGTTCCATAGTGTTGGGGCTCAATATGAACCCCAAGATCTGAGGTGGAATCCTTTTGTGTTCTTACTCATATTGACAGTGTGGAAATGGAATTTCAGTCAGATAACCACATCTGCCATTGCGAAACAAGACTGTCCAGTCCTGTTTGCTTTCTTGCATTGCTACTTGTGTTTGTACAGTCAGTGAAATTGGGGATCTTTTGGAAGCAGCAGGGGCTTAAAATAGGCTAAACAAAGCAAGTGAGTAAGCTCATGTCTTGAGGTCAAGACAGATAAGGGATATAGGATCTTAGCTACTGTGTTAAACTTGTTAACTTGCCTTTCAGGAGAAGCATTAGTGCACGTTTTTCAGCCAAATTAGCACAAAGTTTTATCAGTTGATGTGATATTGAGTTGCATTTCAACTACTGAAGCTTAGGCTGTCTGCACAGCTGTGCTGTTGAAGTACCTGGAATAGCTCATGTTCCAAAGCAGGGTTTCTCCAAGGAATGTCTCATGTAATTGGTAGCTCAGGTGAATACTGGGAGATGTGGCTGTTGGATCTCTCCTTTTTTGTGCCCTTTTTGTGTTTTGATACGGTCATAGGTTGTCAGAGTGCTTTGACCTCTCTTTTTGTTCCTTTTTTGAATATTTTCAGATAGTTATTAAAAAACGAGAACCTTTAAATTTTGGGATTCCAGAGGGAAACACAGGATTCTCTAGCAGATTAGCAGCTACACAAGATATTCCTTTTATTCACCAGTCTGTAAGTATGCTCTAAGTATTAATCTCTTATTTGACGGGTAAATGATTTCCTTAGGAGAAGGAATAATCTGCCTAAGATCTGTATTGTGAAGAGCAAGAGGAATAGTTGTGGAATAACATAAATTATTTTAAAATCGAGTATGTGGTTCAAAGTAATGAAGTAATCGATCTAATTCTAATTTATTTATTCTACTGTGAAGCTTAACAGACCAGTGGTTAAAAGGTAGGGAGCTTCCAAGCACCTTTATACCAGCAAATCTTGTAAGCCAATGACTTGCATGTTTTTTGGACTCTACACAGTAAGTTCCTAACAAGAGTTTTTATTTTTTTTTTTTCTAGGAAGTCTGTGGGTTTTCTTTGCTTTGTAATCTTGAACCCATATTTAACTTTCTGCTTCTCCCTCCTCTTTATATAGAGCTTGTCTTCGAAGAGTCTCCTAACTTTTGCTCTTATTTTGCTAAATAGCCTGGCTATGCAACAGCCTGGCTGTTAGAGGGAGATACTCATTTTTGTCTTAATTTTTGCCTTCTTTAACAATGCTTTGTTTAATGTAGTACACAAGGTGGTCTAGGCAGAAAGCAGTACAGAATGGTCATAACACTTCCTTAGACTGTCATAATGAAAATAATTCAGGAAAGGGCTCTGGTGAGTAAAAACAGCATTCAGGGAATAATGTTGGTCTGTCCATGCAACTTCCAGAAATTTTTAATACCATCTACTCAGTTCACCTGCTCAACTTGTCTTCTTCCTAAAAACACATTCTAGTACTTCCTTCTTTCTTTTGTTCCCCAGCAACAGAATCTAAAAATCTACACTAACAATATAAAGGCAAAAATTCAGTATTAGAACATGAACAGTAAACTGAGAAGTACTGTCATATCTTAGATATTTCTGGAAGCCTGAAGCATCAGGGTTAAAAATAAGTGATTTTATCTTTATTTTTTCCACGTGCTTAGAGTTTTTTTCTTGTTTTGTTCCAGCCTGAACTGGGAGACTTGGATACTTGGCAAGAAAATACAAATGCCTGGGAAGAAGAAGAAGATGCTGCCTGGCAGGCAGAAGAAGTTCTTAGGTAAATGAAAATAATACAGCACTACAAAAACTTTTATATGCAAAATAATCAAGTGCAGGTTTGTTTTCTGTAGCACTTCTCTCATTCTCAGTGCTTCACAAAATTAGTGTGAATACCTCATCTCTTTTATTCTTTTTTTCCATTTTAAGAAGTTGAAGTACAAATGGTAGCGAGATGCAGGTTGAGTTGAAGCTAATTGCCCACAACGATTTGAGTTCACAATGACTTATGTTAACCTGTTTCGTTTCAAAGTTTTATCAAACTTTAGGAGCTCGATACATGATCAGATAACCTGCCTCAGATCACTCCAGCTTCCTAACCTGTTCTCATTCTACTCAGAAAATCACAAATCTATGGCTTTGGTGAGACAATAGTGACAACGGGAAATAAAGACGTGATATATTTAAAAATCATTCTAAACCGTGAATTCTAAAGAAAAAGGGTATTTTTTTCAGAAAGAAGATTTTGTAGAGCTATTTATTGTACCATTGTTTGGGAAGATGTCTTACTCTCTTGTTGAAGAGTACAAGAGTGAAGTCATACATAAGAAGCATGCTTTTGGTGTGTTAGTGGTGGATGATAAATTCAACCAATTTTAATGCTGTCAAACTTACATTGACATTCTGGTTAATATTTAGTTAGTTGTTTTTTGTTTTTAACATTATTACTGAAACTGTTTCAAGACTGTATTGCAGAAGCTATGTGATATATCCGAATGTTGTTTCTTTGGGTTGTTTTTGTTCCAAGGATAGTGCCTTTAAAGAACATCAATAGGCTCAGTAAGATCTTTAGTCTCAGATGTGCAATCTATTGATACTCAACCTGTGATGCACCAGGCAAAGAAAATGAAAGACAATGAAAAATCCTTTTTATTTGGAATTGGGAAATGACACTGCTTTTGCTAACTGCAGAGACTGCAGTGTGTTTTACTGAGCCCTTACCACATCCCATTAAAGATCTTGGTTTTAAGACTATAAAAACAAGTACTCAAGCTTTCCCGAGCGTGGACTTTTTTTACAGAAGTTAGATAGTAATAATCCAGTGAGTGCATGTGTGTTTGTTTCTGGAGTGTGAAATTGTCTATGTAGTGGATTTTTCCTGGGATGGTTGAAGGTATATTTCCTGCCAGTTGTCAGGTTTGTGCTTTAGAATGCTTAGTGAGAGGGAGTGCTTGCATGGGAATAGCAGTGGAGTTTCTCAAATTTTCTTATTTCATAGAAGCTGTTTGGAAGCTTTTGGCCCGACGTATTTTTACTATGGAAAGGCTTCAGCTCGAGTGGTTAATTTTCAGAGGCTTCCTCCTCTGCCCCACTAAAAGTATTGAACTTTACTTGTTTTAGTAGGGATTTATGTGTATCTGTCCAAATATTTCAAGTGAACGGAGCACAATTAGAACTGTAACTGTCTGTATGACATATTTCTTGGCCTACTATGAATGGCCACCTCAGTACAACTGATCATTGTCCGAGTTGTACCCCAGCTGTGTGAAGTAAAACCTTTGTTTTATTCAGGACACATCAAATTACAGTGGTTTTCTTGAATTGTGGAAAATGCTGGCTGATATTTAGCAAGATTGGTAGGAAATGCCTTCCGGGCTTACAGTCTCTCTTGCAGTAGGTATCTGTGGTGGAATTAACATTTAACTTTTGACACAAAACTTGAGTATAGTACTTGATAGGCCTGGCTCTGTCTTTCAGCTGTGTGTAATAAGGGAGCTATCTGGAGTCTGTTCTTAGTGCTCAATCATGCAAAAATGGTCTGTGGCCTCTTAATAGCAGGGCAGACTGTATCCTGCGGCCTTCTCCCTGGTGACTTAATGCACACAGCAACAGTTGAAGCAAGCGTGAAGTAAGCCAGATGCTTCCTGGAAATCCAAGCATGCTGGAAGACAGTGCTGAGGAGTAATCTGCCGTTGTTGTCTGAGCAGTTCCTGGAGTCTGTTTTCTTGCCCATTCCCCAGCAAGTTCTGGGCTGGTAGCACTGAAATCTTCCAGTCAGTGACAAATCAGCGTGGTGGATGAAAGCTGGATTTTCATTTTTCTTTCCAATTAATTGAAGTTAGATAGAACTTCGCTGCTGCAGATTATAAATACCTGTATGTTCCTTTAGACTTTCTAATACCAACGAAGTGTTCTTTTTTTCTTTTCCCCAGTGGAAACAGTTAACATAAATGGTCCTTGGTTTAATAAGTAGCTATGTGTAAAATGTCCAGTGTGTGAGAATATTTTTTGTACTCTTTAATTGTGTTGAAAGAAATGAAAACGATGGTGAAATGAAATCATTCTTCTTAGTTTTTCAGAATGCATACAGTAAGAAAAAAAACAAACACAACCACTGGAATGTCTGCTAACTGTTCTGGTTATAATTAGTGTTCTGCTAACCAGTGAGAGAGGTTTAGTTTTTTTGGACATAACTAGTGTTAGCAGTGCAAAGCAAGACTGGCATCAATAATGAATACTTTTCTGGTTTAAATGACTAGTATCATTCCATCCAAACTGTGCTGAACTCCTTGCGCTGGAGCTCAGAATAAGTGAGTCAGATGTGGCTGTAGTTTGTCGTGGGCTCTTTGTTGAGAAATTGAACCTTTCTGAGCTCAAAAGGTTGTAGTAACTTAATACTGAAAACAAATAAAATGTTTGGAATAGATACAAGTGTTTTGAACAATGACCAAGTAAAAGAGCAGTAAAAGGTAATTGCTTTCCTGGTAAGCTACTTGTATGTATTTTCTGGTGACTTCAGTACCTCTGAGATGATACAAAGATCACTTTTCATTTGGACTTAACTCAAGTCCAATAAAATCACTCAGCCAGTAGAGGGCATGGAAACCCCTTACAGGAATCTTTACTGTGCAGTGTTCTGTGTTGTAGTTTACACGGGGGAAGAAACGTGATCTGCTATAACTTTCCTTATTTCACAACAGCAAGTGAATAGCAAAATTGCTTAACACCTTTTGTGGCTTTTTTCTTTCCTTTTTCTTTTTTTTTTTTTAACTAACTCCACTGTCTCTTTTTGGAACTACACTGCCTCTATGTGCATCCTGCCCTCTTTTACATCAGTTCAGAGGTGTGAAAAATAAAAAATAAAAGTTTGGGCTTCCCTTAACTCCAATAGGAATGAGAGGTAAATTCTGTTGTAAATAATTAATTTCATTCTTTCAAGACAGCAGAGCAGTTTATTAGGGGATAGGAAAACTTCTAGCCATTAATAATCAATCAAATGAAACCGTGAAGGCATTAAGTACAATTCCTCTCCTACCACTGTCAAGTACAAAGATAATATGTAGTCTTTATACCTCAAGTATTTTGTTTTGTGTGCCCAGTTTGCCCATAGTTGACAATTTACCAAAGAAGGTTGCCTCAGTTGAAGATGGTTTTTAATTCTGAACGTTTTACAGACTTGAGTGGACCTGCACAGATAACATTAATATGTTGAAAGTTAACTCCTTACTCTCTACCAATTAGACTTCTTTATTCTCTTTTAATGAGCTATTCTTTATTCTTACCAAATCTGATAAATTTCTCCTTCTCAAATTAATGAAGCTTAGTTTTTTATTTTTAAGTCATCTTGCAAGCAGCATGGCAGTGTTTTTTGTTTGTTTTTTTTTTTAATATCTAATAAGCCAAATGCAAAGCAGGAGTGACCTCTGAACACTGTTCTATTGCTGATGATGAAGTACAGGAGCAAGCTGCCATGTGTCACTTGGAATATGAGCACTATAACGTATCCCTGAGCAATAGAGTACAGCACGGATCCTGAGCAAGTGAAAGGGAATGTTAAAAGTTATCATCTCACTTGGTTACATGGAAAATGTTTGTAGCACTTGGCATTATAAAGAGCACAGCTACTGATGCCTGTGCTGAGGAAAAGGAGGGGCAGAACTTCATGTTCGAGACAAGTCAAATTGTGTTGGTCTGAATTTGAAAAGACAGGTCATCTTGCTATTCTTGCTATTGTAGCACTAGATTAATTATTTTCTAATTAGCATTAGGCCTTTTAATTGTCCACTACTTGAATTAATTATTCTGAATCTTTGAGAACTGGGTGGCTTTCAGATTCTAAATGTTAGGGGGGATAGTTGGGCCAGATGATCCTGGCAGTCTTTTCCAACCTTTATGAATCTGTGATATTTGAAGGAGTATTACTGCCTAAGACCATATTAATCTGAGAAAAGACCTTTAGCATGACAAAAGAGTAACTGTTCCGAGACTAACTATAGTCGACTGAGGCTCTGTTTTCTATTAGTTGTAATAAGCTAGTTATTGACTATGCTGAAAATTGGACTCCTGTTTTTTTTAGCAGTTCATTTTTCTCTAATTACAGGCAACAGAAGATAGCAGAAAGGGAAAAACGAGCAGCAGAACAACAGCGGAAGAAGATGGAGAAAGAGGCCCAAAGGCTAATGAAAAAAGAACAAAACAAAATTGGTGTAAAACTGTCCTAACAGAAACGACGCATCGGTGGCAGTGCCAGTGGGAAAAGAGAATTCCAGCTCTACAACATGCGTATTGGTATTGATATAAGTATTTCCAGGACTTCAGCACACTGCTCGGTTTCAATGCATTCTTCAGGTCATTCTTGGAAGCCAGAATTCTCCCAAAGTATCTTGAACTGCTAGTAGATGATTCTTTAAGGAGGAAAACAAAATCACAAAAAACAAAACACACACACAAAGTCATGCCTTGGTGAAATGAAGTTTCCTACAATAGTTCTATTCTAATACCCTTCTTTGCAGCAAAATTGATTGAGCAAGGATGTTGATTGAGAGAGACTCCTAATGAACAGCTCAAGCCTAGAGAAAAGAATGTAAATATTCAGTGGTGGGGAACCTACTGTATTGTCTGTGCTTACCTGAAACATGTAATTAAACAGTTTTAAATAACCCTTTGCTTCCTACTTGATACCAAAATGTCTGCTTTTGCCTTTTATAAAAGTATATATAAATACCTCAGTTTTATGCTGGAGAGATTTTGGAGGGAGTCCTGATGCGGTGCCAGTATTGTGCAGCAGCAGACACAACCCTGGTGTGATACCACTGCTGTTCTAGCTACACGTGCAGAGCACAGCACTGCATGGGCTGCTGCAGGGAAAGTTAGCTCCATCCCAGCCAGACCCAGCACAACATCATGCAGAAGATGATGACCTGTTATGGGTGACCTGCGGCTCTACGTGTACTCCTGGTGTGCTGTGGTAGAGGAGAGGTTACAGCTGAATGCTTCGCTGGGTTTCTCATCACTTCGGCACTTGCAGCTTCCTGTGTTACCGCACCCATTTACAACACTGTGGTGGCTACAGGCAGTGGTATCGCTGCACAACAGGGGCATGTTCTGCTCCCTGAGTGCAGGGGAGTGATTTAATTGTTTCTTGTGCAAGAAATACGTATTACCAATACAAAATTGTTACTTCCTACAGTTAGGAAAAAAATCCTGACGTCTCCTAGTCATTGCATAGGTAGTATAGTTGGGGAAAAAAAAAGTCTTAATAAAGTTAGTTTGGAAATTCTCAGTTCAGTTACCAGCACTCCTTGGATTCCCTTTATGTAGAGGTAGACTTCAGTGGTAGGTGGCACTGGCACAGGCTGCCCAGAGAAGCTGTGGATGCCCCATCCCTGGAGGTGCTCAAGGCCAGGCTGGATGGGGCTTTGGGCAACCTGGGCTGGTGGGAGGTGTCCCTGCCCATGGCAGGGGGGTGGGACTGGATGGGCTTTAAGGTCCCTTCCAACCCAAACCAAACTACACTGTTATCTCTGGAGCCATGATTCAATGGTGTGGGTTTGTATCTTGTAATTCACCTGTGAAAATTCACAGGTAAGTGAATTTTCACTTCTGTGCCTGAGACTTGTTCCCCATGCATACAGGGAACTATAAAGTTGCGAAAGAGTGGGGCTGGGTGGGAGCTTGCCTATGGTGTGCCCAGAAAAACAAAATTTCTAACTAAGTTGCAGGTTCTGACACGGGTTTTGCTTGAAAGATAATTAAGATAGCAAGGTCTTAGTGACTGGAAAGTTCTTAGCAAAAATGTTTGTTCTGCTTGTTGTGTTCCTTAAAGTCTTGCACAAGTTGACTGATTTGATAGAAATCTCAAATATGATGTCCTTGAGAACTGTTCAATTTCAAAATGCATTTTAGAAGGCAACAATATTCACTTTCATCCTTATTTTTTCTGTACAAGGGCTCTGGCTGGAGCAGAACAGATGGCTATATGCTCTGCAGACTGTACAACTGCGTGGCAAGTAAATCTTAGAGGGAACACTGGTAAAGTACCTGACTGGTGAGGTGAATGGGAGATAAGGGAATGGCTGGGAATAAGATTTAATAAAAATAGGTGTCTGTACTTTTAACCACACTGGTGAAGCGAGGCCCTCTGTGTCCTAACTTTCTTACACCTCCCAATACGGAGCTGAGACACCCTCAGGATGTGCTCGGTTTCTTTCCCTCCTGCTGCTGCAGGTCCTCCTTCCTCTCCACGCAGCCTCCTGGCTGTGCCCTTTATTTTCCCTTCGCTGGGAGCCAAACCTTCCTTGTTACTGCTGACTCTGGAGGACCGGCCTGCTGGGAGGGCTGGAAAATCCTCCTGTCCTTGGCTCTGCTGCAGTGTTCGTATCTGAAATGCCACGTGTTCATTTGTCTGAAGGGTTTTGGAACAAAATACTCATTTGGTCTCCTCATGTAGGACACGACGCAACTAAAGCAGGACTTTTGTTTGAGTGTGTGGCTGCAGTCTGGGATGTGGAAGAGGTAGCTGCTGGGGCGGAGGAAAGAAACAACTGAGTGGTCAGGAGCTAAATCAGCCTCGTGAGTGCGGGCACGGTGAGAGTGCAGCTTGTGGTAGGGCAGGTGCCTCTTGGCTGAGCACTAAAGAAAGTGGGGTTAGGAAGAGAAGTGTGTGATGGGGTTATCAGCAGCTGTCCCTGCGGCCTGGGAAGGATCTGTCATTCCCGTGCTATCCTGGAAGCCCCCTGCTGCTTCACCCCTTGCTGGTGAGCTGCTCGTCCTCCCCAGCTGCGTGATTTGAGGCAAAGATCTCTAGTGCTCTACTGGTATGGACATGAATTATTTCTAAATTAGGAGAAAAACAGGACTTTGCAGTGAGCTTTCTGCAGGCTGATGGTCCTCCTAGCTGCTCCGTGCAGCACCAGGGGAATGCAGCTGAGACGTGTCAAAGATCAAAGCTGAGTATTAGAGGCATTAAAAGCAAATGAAGATGGCATGTCTGCAGCTCAGCTGCTGTGTCCTCTGTGGATAGGGTAACAATGGCCATTTCCCCAGTCTGGGATTACAGCACTTATCTTGGTACTTCAGGCCTCTTACACAAGCACCGCGAGCTGTCCATCTCCTGGCAGTACAGCAGAAGGCAGAAGTGAGCTGAATTTTGGGTAGAGATCACAGCAAGGATTTTCTTTGGGTAGGTGATGGGAGCTCTGCAGCTCCTCGCTGAGCATAGCTGAATGGCTCCTGAGAGCTGAGCGAAGATTTTTTAAGGGCAGGAAGCAACTTTGCCATTATTCTAATGTTCGTGCCTCCTACCTTTTAAACAACCTGTTTACAACCACTGCTGCTACATGGAGCCTGCCCAAAACAGGGTGTGAAGTGACTTGAGCCTGTTGAAATTTTAAACTTAAGCATGGGGAGGTTTGTGCTGCTTTGTTTCCTGCTTGCTACAGAAGAAACCTGGGTAGTCACAGGTGAATGTCTCTCCTGGAACTGGAGATCACTTTCTGCTCTAAGCTATGCTGCATTTCCCCACCACTCAAAGTGAAGAGCACTTAAACAACAGCAGATGTAACAGAGCAACCCAGAATTGTAATAAAGACATTAACACTGGGGCTAAGAATTCAGTCCATTTGACTTGAACAGACATTTTAAAATAGGAATTAGGCATTCTCCATTATGTTTTTTTCATTCAAACAGGAGACATTTAGGAATGGTGGGGTAAAAATAAGGCTACCTGTTTCTGTTAGTACAGCGTGGGTGCGGCCACAGACCAAGCGGAGCCTCCTCCTGCGGAGCGCTTCCTCTTGGAGCTGTGATTAGTTGTTCCTCACCCTAACTCTCTTCTCAGGGTCCCGATGGTTCCTTATGCCCTCACATGGAGCCTCCTTTGGCTATGTATGTGATACCTCATCTGAAACGGAGCATTTTTAACAGCTTTGCCACAATAAGACACTCGTACAGTGGTAAATTTTCTAACATGCTTTAATGAAATTGTGATTATAAAGGTAATTTATAATAAAGCTATTAAATAAACAATAAGTTAAAACACGATACATTTATAGATGGTATTTCACATGGCTCGAAAGACTATCAGGTTCCAATACATTAAGACTTTAAAACAACATTAATATTCAGAGTGTATCCACCCCTATATTTACCATTGTAACACGTTTCAAGACTCCCCCCCACTTACCATTTTTGGTTACAGTCCCCTCATACGTACAAGGCTAGTGGAATGCTCGAGCAACTGCAGGATTTGGAAGACCACTACACAAGACAGGCATGAACGATGTGCTAGAAGCTGCCTGGGAAATATGGATTGTTTTTTTTTAATTGAATTGACGTTTCAGACAACAAATGGAAAGCGCTAGCATGCTTTCTAGAGTACAGGTGTGATACACTTAGGGGAAACGAGCCTTCATCTTACTTAACGCTACAGTTTCACAAATGCTTTAGGTTAGTGCTGCCTGGAGAAATACCCCACCTTCCTCTTGCCATTTGTTCCCAGATGCATCACATGCTGCCCTTCAGCCAGTGCACAATGTTTGTGCGTTTGCTCAATGAATCAGGCAGGGAAACTGAGCTTAAACTAACTCAGCAAGCGAACCCGAAACGGTGCTAGCTGTAATTCTGCTCGCTGCCCCTGATCCTGTTCACTGGGCAGGTGCACTGACACAAGAAAGATGCCAGCAGAGGGCAGGGACCCGGTGACTGGGCGCAGGAGGACTATTTCTGCAGGCAGCAATACAGTGCTACGCCAGTTACCAACATTTTGTGAAACTGCAGGGTTCAGCTTTGTCATTTTGGAACAAAGAACATGTTTTCGAACCAAGTTATAGTGCAAATCAAATAGTCAAGAGCAAAACAATGTAGTCTGCCAGAACATACAGTATCTCTCTTATCACCCCTCATTCCCCCCCCCTCCTCCCCAAATGCCTCAGCCCCTGGTGCCCCGTGACTGAGCAGAAATTAGATTTTGATGTTGAAGGGTGTACGACGCAGTGAGTGCAGAGCCACCAGGCAGCACCCACGCAGCAGTGTTCCGATATTGTACATGGGGTCTACTCCTCCTCTCTGTGTGCTGAAGGCCCACATGACAGTGGGCACGACGGGGGCTGCTACCGCCAGGATATCTACCAGGAGGCTGCTGTTCCAGTGCTTCTTCGTTATTCCTGTCTGAGAGCAAGTATTCACATACCCAAACTCTTCATCATGTGGCTCTGTAAAATCCAGTTCTTTCATGACCCGGTTATCATTAACTTCACAATCCACGTTTCTGTGTGGAGACTCCACAGAAGGCAAAAATTTGGCAGAGTTCGGACTGTTTGGAGTTAAGTCCATTACCATACCAGAATCCAGATCGTAGATTCCAGAAGAAAACTCACTCAGTTCCTTCGGTGAGGAAGGTGGTCTAGGGGAGGAATCTTGAGATATGAAGACATTTTGAATGAACCACTCCATTTTCAGGCCACGTGGCACGTCGGTCTGAACGGACTGTTCCACTGTCATGTTGCTGCTTTCCTCCTCTTTCTTAGAAGAAGACAGTTTTTCATCAGAAGCAGTTTCACGTGTCTCTCGATCCACAGCAGAACTGGAGGAAGATGGATCGCTCCCTTCAGAACTTGCGGTGGTTGAACTCTCCTTAAATGAATTGCTCTCGTTACTTTTGT